CTTTCTCTTTCTCTCTCTCTCGCTCTCTCTCTCTCTCTTTCTCTCTCTCTCTCTCTCTCTCTCTCTCTCTCTCTCTCTCTCTCTCTCTCTCTGTAACATAAACAACAACCTAGCGTTGCTCTCATGCGCAAGGAGTACATTTCTAACCATTGGGAAAAAGGGTTACGTAACCATAATAAGCATACCTACTAAACCTAACCTACTTCAATAATCATGATGGGAAATGTGCCGGTCCATATAGGCCATCACGTATCATCGCACACACCATCTACGGCCAGCCGCTGTTAGAGCTATTCCAGACTATGTGTGATCATGATCCCACGCGCGTCGCACATTATTCGAATAGGGAAACGGGCTAAGAGCATGCATGCATGCTAGAATCTACTGGGAGGCATACTGCCTAACACGTCACGCGTCATCGGAATAAGCGAGTTAACACACGTCTGCGAGCAGCTGAGACGACGTGACAAGCTGACGAACACTCGGGAATATTAATTGTCCGATATTAGACGATGCAACGCGGCTACTTAAGCCGGGTTTTCACCGCCATTGACGTTTATTGGTGCGGAGCAGTCCCGATTTATAACGCCAATGCTGTGTTCCACCATTCGTTTTCCGCCTTCATTTACGTTGCCGACAGTGGAGAGTAATTTAGTCGAGAGCAAAACCTAACCTTTAAAGCAACGAGTTGTTGAGTGCGCGTGCGAAACGTGGCATTCACAGCTTCTTGCTAACCGATCTATTCATTATACATATAGTCGCGACGGCAGATCAAATGCCTTCACGTTTCGACCGTGACGCACACTGATGGGCTCTTACAGCGTTTCTATGATACCACTGGGAGATTTCAGCCGATGACGATATCTGAATGAACTATTCGCGTATTTCAATAAAACAATTCATTGCGGCTGAGACATTCTCAAACGTGTTCGCTACATCTTGTTGTTATCGTCGGTAGCGACGAAGCTTCACGCACACATCGGAGCACGCCGGCCGTACGCATTCGTGAGTAGTAGGGACACCAGTCCTGTACTCTGGCCCTGAGGGAGGCTTCTGATTGGTCGAGACACACCACGTGACCACGCCCACGTTACGTCACTTTCGGTGGACAACGTGACGTCACTTCCGGTGGAAACCGTGACGTCACTTCCGGTGGAACCCGTGACGTCACTTCCGGTGAGGATGGGTTGCCTTTGGAGCGATCGACCAATCAGAAGCCTCGCTCAGGTCACGTGAGCGTGGTCACGTGGTGTATCTCGACCAATCAGAAGCCTCCTTCAGGGCCACAGTACAGGTTTCTCTACTACTTTCGTGATTCACGACATCATCCCCAACAGCGTCGTTTCGACAAACATTAAAGCGCAGTCGACGTCATTTGCGATTCTCCGCCACACTTCACGCCGACGTCAACTGCCCGCGGGTGCTCGGTCACGTACGCGTTTATTTATTGGCTCGTATTTGCATTTCGTTTTGATAGTCGATCGCCGTTCGTGGAGATCGATATGGGCACGGTTTGCCGGCAACACCGAACACAACAGTCTTTACACGAGCTTTAGCGTGCAGTCGCCATACAACACACGATGCACGTGCTACGCATCCACAATCATCGTAGCTGGCTGGCAGTAGAAGCACGCTGGCACCTAATAGCTCTAGTGGAGCGAGTACGCCCTCAACACTCGCGCTACATCGCGGAATGCAAAGAAATTTTTCCCGGTTATCGCAAATGTTCGCGCATGTAGTGCATTCGTGAATGTGTGAATTCACGATGTATGTGTGTTTAGCACGGAGGGGCTTTCTAAGCATGCACTAATCGCACTATTACCAGCAACGCCTGTACGACACACTCACAGCGCAAACACATGCACACCACACACACTATCAACGTCAGTACATCACACTCACGCGGTAAACACATGTACACCACACTCAGTGCTGCCACTCAGGATATTACAAAAAAAAGTATAAAATCTGTCCAGAAAAAAAGTATCAAAATTGCCTAAAAAAGTATTTAAAAAAATATAAATTTGTATCAACCTACCATGATTTGTTACCTTATACATATTACCGAATACATTATAGCCTATGTGCAGCATGTAAACAAGCTTCCGGAATGATGTGTGCAATGTCATGAGGAGTTGTCTCTTGAACTCTCAGTTTGGAATATTTCAATGCAGTGTTTCCCTTGGCCAGAAAGTTCTGTAAGGTGGTAAATTTTGGTGTGGCGAGGTCCTAACACAGTGAGCAGTGCATGTGCCTGGGCAGCTAGGGGGGTCCGCGGGAATGCTCCCCCCGGATTTTTTTTGAAAAAATGGTGCAATTTGGTGCATTCTACGCTATTCTGGACACATTGTATGAGACTCTTGAATCTCTTTTTCAAGTTATCAAAAGTTTCGTCAGCGAGGCGGTGTTGGACAAATTTCTGTGTGGCGGCTGAGATTTTGAGCGAGGCGGCCTGCCTCGCTCGTGCCAATGCAGGGGAAACACTGCAATGGTCTGTCAT